CTGTGTCTCTCTGTCTGTCTCTCATGAATAAATAAATAAAATCTTTTAAAAAAATAGCTGTCCCATTGCCTTCTCTTCCATCACTGGGTACTGTCACACTTGCCATTGCTGGCAATTTGATGGATTTGGCATGATATCTCATTTCCATGATTTAAGTGTCTTTCCGTTCTTTCCTCTGTGGTTACCTACTCATATCATTTTGCACATTGTTTTTCCTGTTAGGTTGCTTGTATTTTCCATATCGGTTTATATTACTGTAAATTGATTGGATTTCTTTATATATTCTGAAACACTGGTTATATGTGTTGCAAATATATTTGTCCAATCTATGGTTTGTTGTTTGCTTTGTTTCATTATATCTTTTGTTGTATAGAAGTGTGTGTGTGGTTTTTAAAAAATATAGTCAAGTTCGTCAGTCTTTTTGGTTAGTGGTTTTTGTTTCTTGTTTAAAATATTTTTTTTCATAGGGGCCACCTGGCTGGCTCAGTTGGTGGAGCATGTGACTCTTGATCTTGGGGTCATGAGTTCGAGCCCCACCTTGGGTGTAGAGTTTACTTAAGAAAATAAATAAATAAAAATTAAAAAAATATATTTTTCTTTATCTCAACATCATAAAATATTTTATATTTTCTAATAAAATATTTAAAGCTTTGTTTTTCTGATTCAGGTTTGCATTCCACCTGAAATTTATTTTTTATATGGTATAAGGACCACATTTTTAACTGTATAGTTAAACAATTATTTCAGCATCAATAATTATCATGTATAGTTTACCGTTTTCCCACTGATTTGTAATGCCAATGCTGTCATATGTTATGTTACCATATGCATGTGGTCTGGACTTTATTCTGTTCCATTTCTGGACTCGTATATTCTTGTGCCAATGCAACAGAATTCTAATTAGAATGACGTTCTTGCTAACTTATGGGCAAGTCCCCACATCTTGTTCTTAAAAATTGTGGATAATCTTGGCTTCATTCTAGCATATGAATTTTTTAAATGGACATGGAATAGATTTATTATTTAATTTTATCATCACCTTGTCAAATTCCATGAAAAATCCTGTTCAAGTATTCATTGAAATTATATTAAGTTTATAGATTAAACCTGGAGAGGACAGACAACTTCATAATATTTTCTTCCTGTCTAAAAATAAGGACTATCTTTCCCTCTACTTTTTGGTGATTAGATGAATTGTTTTAATTGATTTTTTTTAAAGATTTATTTATTTATTTGAGAGAGAGAAAAAGCATGAGGGGGAAGGGGCAGAGGGAGAGGGAAAAGCAGGGCTTCCCGCTGAGCAGGGACCCTGATGTGGGGCTCCATCTCAGGACCTGGGGATCATGACCCGAGCCGAAGGCAGACGCTCAACCGACTGAGCCACCTAGATGCCCTGATTTTAATTTAATTTAATTTTAATTCCAGTATCATTAACACACACTGTTACATTTGCTTCAAGTGTACAATGTAGTGATTCAGCAATTCTATACATTACTCAATGCTCATCACAATAAGTGTAATCTTAATCCCCTTCACCTATTTCACCCATTCCCCCACCCACCTCCCTTCTGGTAACTATCAGTTTGTTCTCTATAGTTAAGAGTTGGCTTTTTCCTTCCTTCCTTCTTTCTTTTTCTTTCTTTCTTTCTCTCTTTCTTTCTTTCTCTCTTTCTTTTTCTTTCTTTCTTTCTTTCTTTCTTTCTTTCTTTCTTTCTTTCTTTCTTTCTTTCTTTCTTTCTTTCTTTCTTCCCTTCCTTCCTTCCTTCCTTCCTTCCAAACTCTACCTCAAACATAGGGCTTGAACTCACAACCCCAAGATCAAGGCTAAATGCTCCACCGACTGAGCCAGCCGGGTGCTGCTGTTTGTTTTGTTTCTTAAATTCCACATGAGTGAAATCCTATGGGATTTGTCTTTCTCTGACTGACTTCTGTCACTTAGCATTATATTCTCCAGTTCCATCTATGGTTTTGTAAATGGCAAGCTTTCACTCTTTTTTATGGCTGAGTAATATTCCAGTGTATATATACATATGTACACACATGTATGTATATGTATGTATATATACATATATGTATACATATATATATATACATAGACATACCACCTTTTCTCTATCCATTCATCAGTTGATAGACACATGGGCTGCTTCCATAATTTGGCTGTTATGAATAATGCTGCAATAAACATAGGGGTACATATATCCTTTTGAATTCGTGTTTGTGTATTCTTTGGGTAAATACCCAGTAGTGGAATAACTGGATCATATGGTAATTGTATTTTTAATTTTGGGGGGAAACCCCATACTGTCTTCCACAGTGGCTGCACCAGTTTGCATTCCCACCAACATTGCATGAGGGTTCCCTTTTCTCTACATCCTTGCCAATACTTTTTGTTTCTCATGTTTTTGATTTTAACCATTCTGACAGGTGTGAGGTAATATCTCATTGTGGTTTTGAGTTTCATTTCCCTGATGATGAATGATGTTAAGCATCTTTTCATGTGTCTGTTGGCCATCTGTATGTCTTTTTTTCTAAAATTTTTTAGAAGATTTTATTTTTAAGCAATCTCCACACTCAGTGTGGGGCTTGAACTCACAACCCCGAGATCAAGAGTCAAAAGCTCCACCGACTGAGCCAGCCAGGTGCCCCTGTATATTTTCTTTGGAGAAATGTCTGTTCATGTCTTCTGTCCATTTTGTATAAGTTCTTCATGTATTTTGGACACTAACTCCTCATCAGGTATATCTCACCCATTCAGAGGTTGTCTTTTAGTTTTGTTGATTGTTTGCTGTACAGAAGCTTTTTATTTTGAGGTTGTCCCAATAGTTTTTTACTTTTGTTTCCCTTGCTTTAGGAGACAGATCTAGGATAATGTTGCTACAATACTTATGTATTCTTTAAGTGTTTTCTTAATACAGCTGTATAATTTTTTTTCCCATATGGGTCTTGATCATCTTTTGCTAACCTAACCTTACATATTTAATAGTTTTATTGCCATATTTAATGATTTAATGGGATCTTTTAAAATTACATTCTAATTGGCTATTTCTATTGATTTTTGTATGGTGATCTTGTATCCAGAAACCTTATTAGTTATAGTAGTGTGGGCATGTGCATCACATTAATAGATCTTTTGATGTTATTTTCTGGCATTCCAGGGATAACCCAATGGGGCCATGGCTAAATTCAATTTTCTAGAACTTGACAGCTTTTAAAAGGTGCCTTTGTACAAAATCTGTAATCTTTTAGATTACAGAGAAATTGAATGACCCCGCAGAGTAACTTCATCTATCAAAGGGTCAAAGGGCTTATGCAGAGCTGGCTGTTTTGGCCTTGAAACCTAGAACAGCCTTACCTGCCTCTATTGACCCTTCTTGGTATGCTTTTGCTTAATTTCAGTGATGATTACCACCACATTCCCTTCACTCAGTTTTAGATTCTTTTCTGATTGAGCTCCATTGAGAGCTAAAACAATATTAACTACCATCCAGGTTTTTGTAACTCTCCATGGTGCTTATCATAGTACTTATACAAAGAGTCCCAACCTAGGAAAAACTTGGTGTCTACTGATGAATTGATGAGCTTCTGTTCATTAACCCATTGGAATTTCACTTTTGTTCTGATTTTCACGAAGCTAAGAGCTGAGTTTTGTGCTCAGTGGTAGCACATTCCCTGAGTCTGCTTTTAAATATTACTTTTCTTTCTATGCACTGGGCTTATTCATATAGCTTTTATCTCCCACCATATAGCCTCTTATTTTTTTTAATTATTAATTTTACTCCTATGTTAATGCTATACAGTTTTATTCCTTGTATGCTTCCATGGAAGTTATGTCAAATCCTTTTGTGGGTAGGTGGGGTTTAATTCTAAATAAAATGAGAAATGTTCAATAAATGTTGACTGGATGGAGAGTATGAGGACTTTAGTGGGGAGGCAGATTTTCCAAAATCATTAGTGTAGGAAATTAGTTTTGATGTTTTAGTGTCTGCTTATAAGTAAAACACCCAAACCTGTATTGAATTCAGGGGGGAAATCCAATTTTGCTTTCTGTTAGTAAATAAAAAAGCATTTCACACCTTATAAAATAATGGTGCTTGGCATGATAATTGCACATGTATACCGTGACTATTTTATTTCATTAGGTACTGAATTGGACCACTCATGAACAGTCGTGGGCTCTTCCTTTTGAGCTGAATCTAAATCTGATTTTCAGAAAATCGCTACTAGAGTGATCGTGTTGTCCGGGTTGCTGAATTCCAACAACCCTCCTTCAAGGGCATCTCCCGGAGGGGAGCTCGGGTCATTAGCTCAGGGACGATACAAAGCGTTTTGTTCTTTTACTCACGGCCCTTGCCCGGTCTCCCAAGGAGACAAGTTGAATGCCCACTAAGTCATGCTTTTCCATTACTCATTCCGCCTTTTCTCCGAAGGTGGCGTGTGGGAGGTGTTGTGATCGGGCTCGATAAGAATAGGCCGGGAAGCTTGCTGCGGGATAATACACTCATCCCTTTGCGTGTTTCAATTCCGACTGCGCCGTGTTTGGCGGCTTCGGCGAGCGAGCAGCTTTCCAAACGCACAATGACTCCACACTCGGCCGCCTCCCGTATTCATCTCAGCCCCTCCGCAGGCGCCTGGCCCTCACTGTCCAGCCCCGCCCCGCTTGGCCAAGCTTTGTTTCCTTACAAGGCGGATCATCAGGTGGGCCAGGCGCGACCGCTGCCGAATGACGTCCTCCGCGGGTCACCCGTGCGGGGGACTCTGGGCGCCGGCCTCCCCAACCCCGCAGCCCCGCAGCCCCGCACCCGCGCGCGCGTCCCGGCCACCAGGAGGCGCCCGGGCATCTCCTCAGCTCCTCGCCCCATCCCCTCTCTGGCTCGCCCTGCGATTGGCCGGCCGCGCGAGCTCTAAGCCCCGATTGGCCGGCTCCCGCGTCAATCGCGGACGTCGGGGCGGGCCGAGGTGACGCGCGGCGGCCCGGCTCGGGGCGGTGTCCGGCGCGGGCGGCTGCGGGCGGAGCTTCGCGAGGAGCGACGCGGGGCCGTCAGACGGCGGCAGCTTTGGGAGGCGCCGGCGCGAGGCCGAGGCGCTCCCCGTCCGCAGCAGCTGCCACCGCCGGCGCGTCGCCGCGCCCCGGCTGCCAGTGCTCCCGCCCTCCCCGCGCCACGGCCCTCGATGCGGGGCCGGGCCGCTGCGTGATGGGGCTGCGGAGCGGCGCCCTGCGGCTCGCGGCAGCCGCTGCTCGCGCTGAGGAGCGTCGGTGCCGGGCCCCCCGCGCCCCCGCGCGTCGCGGCGCCTGCTGACCCGGCCCGCCAGTCGCCCGTCGGTCCGCAGCGCGGCTGAGGTAAGGCTGGGGGCGGGCGGCGGTTGGCGCCGCGGCCGCCGGGGCTGGGGAGGGGGCCTGCGGGGGGAGGGGAGGCCGGGCCGGGGCCGGGCGGGGTCCGAGCGGAGGAAGCGCGGGGCCGGGCGGGAGCCGCGCCGCCCCACCGGGGCACGGGGTGGGGCGGGGCGGGGCGCCCTCCGGGCCGGCGAGCCCGACCTCGGGTCCAGCGGCCTGCTGGGTCGCCCGCCGTGCCCCGCACCAGCCCTCGGCTTCCCCTGAGCGGCCGGACTGGGGCTGTGCCCAGCGGTCGGCCGGCCCGCCGTTGTCGGCTGCCTGCGCTCTCTGCGCACCCTGCAGCTCTGTGGAGCGGGCGCCGCGCCGCTTTGAAGCCCCCGGTTCTCGCTTCCCCCATCCCCTCTCCCCCATTACGGTTGGCGTCGGAGCTGAGCCTGGGAATGCGGTTATGCCCTCTGGCCAGATGAAGGTAGGAAGGGGCTTGGCGTGGCGGAGGGGAAGCCGATGGCGCGAGGAGCGGGGAGAGGAGCGCGATGGAAAGGGAGGGGGCGTGTGGGATGCTGGCCAGGCGCGAGGAAGGCTGGTGTGGTCTCGGCGTTCGGCAGCCCGGGATCACTCTGGCAGCCATATTGGGAGGATGATCTGACAAATCCTTTAGTAGCCAAGTCCGGTTGCTGGAAGGCACCGAGTGACAGCCCTGGCAGCTTTCAGGGTGACTGGCCGCGCCAGAAGCCAAGTTGTGGGGGTTGGGAGCCTGCTGGAGCAAGCTCGTCATTGTTCATGCAACACGACACATTCCGGCCCTAAACCCAGAATTGAACTCGCGAAGCACTTTTTCTCCTTGGTGAATTGCTAAATGAGCTTCTGTGCTCAAGTGCCTTCAAGCTTCCATTCTTGTTGGGGTGAATACTGTGTTTCTCTATTCATCTTTTACGGCCAGTGCTATGGACGTGGAGGCCTGATGATGATACCTTACATGTACACAGGCAGATCTGAGGATTGCTAAGGCCCGTTTACCAGTACGGAGGCTTCGAGTTAGTCTATCGCACTGGATGGGTAGGTTTTCAGAGTAGCTCACCATGCAGAGATTTAGTAACCGGGCATATTCTGACAGTGGGAAGGCATGCAGCAGTATTTCTGAGGATGCAGGTTGTCATCTTTGTGGAATCTGGAGGTAGCTGAAATTAGATTGTCAACAGATCCCTTGCTCACATATCTCTTACTGTTCTAGGCAGCTGTTCTGCCGACACTGAGTGTGTTGCTTTGTGTCATAGATGGGTCTGTCTGAGCCCCATGAAAGTGTGGTGATTGGGTCTGAATAGCTCTTAAGTGATATCATGGTGGATATTTTATTTAAAGGCTGGCATTTTGTCAGCTTAGCTTAGTCATAATAAAATCTTAGCTCGTGTTCTCTTAAGTGAGGTGGTGCTTTCTAATTAACTTGGTGTGGCTGTTGGATTATGAGGCAGGTGGAGTTAAACGTACCGTGTGAGGATGGAGTATGAGGATTGCACACACCTTGGGATTGTAAAGCAGATCTGGAAATGATCAATAACTGAATTCAGTGTGAGCTTGTAAATCTGGCTTCTCCTACATGCTTGAGGAGAGTGGCATGCCTGTCTTTGTGCCTTTTGCTTTCAAACTTCATTTCTTAATGAACAAATTCCTGTGACTTCTTAAGTTGAACTATCTAAAAATTTTCAGTTAGGGTTTTCTAAGAAAAGTCTTAATGCTTTATTTTGGTATTTTTATCATTAAGCTTTCCTTTTAAAACTTAGTTGAGGGCGCCTGGGTGGCTCAGTCGGTTAAGCGACTGCCTTCGGCTCAGGTCATGATCCCAGGGTCCTGGGATCGAGCCCCGCATCGGGCTCCCTGCTCAGCGGGAAGCCTGCTTCTCCCTCTCCCACTCCCCCTGCTTGTGTTCCCTCTCTCGCTGTCTCTCTCTCTGTCAAATAATAAATAAAATCTTAAAAAAAAACACACACAAAAACTTAGTTGAATAAAAAGTGGTGTCAATGGAAACCAGTGCTTTTTGTATTACTTTAGCATGAGAGAAATACAGAATGTCTGTTTTAAAATTCCATGCCCCAATTAAGAACTATTTCTAAGTTTTAAATTTTTACAGTTACTTTACTAGCAAAAAACGATCTGAAGAATTGTGTTTAAATATAATTTTTAGCGTTTGATAAAATGAGACCTTATTGTGAACCTGATTTGGTGGCAGAATTTTATGAATCTGTGCAGCTCTGTTTTGATGAATGTTTTTCCAAAATTTATCCAATTAAGTACAGCTTCGAAGGCTTTAAACAGACCATTTTTCCTTCTAAGACCAGATATGAATGCAGCTTTCCTTTTTTCTCTTTCCCACTTTGAATTTGTTCAGGGAATAAACTCTCAAGAAGAGTGCCAATAGTCTCTCCCAGGCCAAAGTTTTCTAGCCCACTTCCCTGCCATGGTCTTGTTCTGTGTACAAAGTAAAGGACAACACTGGGCCCCTGCCTTCTGGTTTGTAAACCCCTTCCCGGGCTGCTAATCACAGCAGGTCTTTTCCAGGAGTGAAGCATATCCTTTTGATCTTGTAAACTGATATAATTTTACAAGGCTCTGAAGTGAAAGGTATAGTCTGTCTACTTCATGTCGTTCTCTTTGAAAGATGGCCTTGTTGGAACAAACTGATGAATTTCTGGAGTTCATAAAAGTTTGAATAGCAGTGCACCCCAGAAGTCTGGGGATAAATACACATACTTTCAGAACTTTTCTTTGTGCAGCTCATTAGAATAGAAGATAAATGAAGCAGATGTGACTGTGACAAGAAGTACAGAAGGGTCCTGGGACTTCTCTTTGAGGTGGACTTTTTGGTTAATGGCCCAGTGATTCATTTACGCTCACTTTTATGACGTTCATTACCAGTTTATTGACAGTACATATAGAGATTTAGTTCTTTACTCTCAAGGAATGTACACTTTACCATTTGTATACAGACATGGTAAGATAGAGTTAACCCTAGGTCTTTTCCGTTTTAGTACAATTTAATGGTTTAGTACAATTTAGTCCATACTGTGGTAGTTTCCATGGTTTTTATAGTCAGAGCCTTTTCCCTTTTGTATTGCCATATAATACTTACCTAATGCTCAGTCTGTACTTTTATGATTGCTTTGTCGTTGTTTGTATATGTGTTTGAAGTCACAAGATTGTAAATGTCTGATGGATTAAAGAAATTTTTTTTATATTTAATATCACATTGTTTATTCCAAAGTGTATCATTCAACTATACCATCCTCTACCATTGCTCTGTGTGATGTCTTTGATACTTGGCTTAATTCTTCCTCTGTCTGAATTTCTGACACCATCCTGACAGATGTCAGTGACTATAAACAATAACAACAACAATAATGACAAAATAGCTCACTCATATTGAGCCCTTTCTATGTACTAGGCTCTTTTCCAAGCAGTTTACATTGTTCACTAGTTTAATCCTTGTAACAACCATATGAAATAGATACTGTTACCCCCTATTTTACAGATGAAGAAACAGAGGTTAAGTGACTTCCCCCAAGGTCACTAGAAATAAGTACGTAGCCACTGTACTGTACTTCTTCTGTAACTACCTTTAACCATAAAATTTTTCTGACTTCAGCTCAAGCAAACGTTAGCTTCATGCTGTTCCGGTAACTCAGTATTGTGGCCCCATCTTCTACCTTGTCATCACCTTCAGATCTGTCTTAATGTCAGATTGTCCTTCAGATCTGAAGCTCTGATCATTTACAGCTCTCATTTTTGTAGTCTCCTTCTGTGTGCTCTTCCACATCGTCTCCTGGTCAATCAGCCTCTTCCAGATTTTACTTTTTTGTCTTCCTTTAGTACACTTAACTTCTGGGGAGCACTGCTTCAGCTCTGTGACTTCTGGGGTGCACTGCCTCAGCTCTTTTCTTACCAGCACTTGCAGTCTTTAATTCTTTATTATTCTGCAAGACCCATTATGCAGATGCCAGTCTTACATCCTTCCTACCACCCATACCTTCTATATTTAGCCTGCCATGGAGAAATCTCACACAGTGCTGGGGGTTAGTGCCACAATTAATGTGTAATCTTAGGTCTCCTCTGAATCTGTCTTTGGTGTCTGTTGAAGTAATTCTAATTCTGTTCATTTCCCTCCACTGTTCTCCACAGTGACTTCTAAAATTTTGACTGCTTTACTCAAGCCTCCCCACTGCCCCATGCTTGGCTTAAAACCTTACCTACCGGGTGCCTGGGTGGCTCAGTTGGTTAAGCGACTGCCTTCGGCTCAGGTCATGATCCTGGAGTCCCGGGATCGAGTCCCACATCGGGCTCCCTGCTCAGCGGGGAGTCTGCTTCTCCCTCTGACCCTCCTCCCTCTCGTGCTCTCTCATTCTCTCTCTCTCTCTCTCTCTCGCAAAACAAAACAAAACAAAACAAAACAAAAACCTTACCTACCACCTCATAGGGAAAAAAAGGCATGAACTACCCCGCCGCCCCCCCCTCCCCCCGCCTCACGCTTCCTCTTTCTCTACTGAAAGAATTCTCTGCCTTCTTTCTTACCTTTCCTCCAGTCATAGAGAAAAGGTTACTCTCCCAGACTTCAGCTAATCCCTTGGCTTGTGTTCTGGATGTCATCACCTTGTAATCTTTAGGGACTTACTGTATTGGTTACTCTTTTCCCCTTCCACTGTTTCCCTACAGTCCCACCTTAGGGCCTTTGCTCTGACTCTTCTACCTAGAACACTCTTCCCCTGGAGGCTGCTTGGCCAACTCCTTCATGTCTTTCAAATCTTTGCTTAAACCTCACCACCTCAGCAGGCCTACCATAACCTCATTTATGCACGTGCACAGAGTTCCTCCCCACCATACTCCTGAGCCACCTGCCTTTGCTGTACTTTCTCTCCCTGTAATGCTTATTATCACATAGCATTCTGTAGAAATTAATGTCCCCACTTGCCCTCCTAGGATTAGAATGTAAGCTTCTCCATGGCAGGGATGTTTATCTG